TTCAATATAGACTTTTATATCTTTGTTATTTCAGAAATGCTTTCTTGAATTATAGTTTTTAATATTTGTTCTGACCCCTTGCTTTGGCTTTCTTCTTCCGGGACTCCTGTTATTCATGTGTTGGGCCTTCTTTGTCTATCTTCACCATTTGTCACACTCTTGAATCTTCTTATTATTTTATTTGTCCTTTCTGGATTTTAAAATTTCCCTTCTATTTTCCTTCTCATTGTTGGTTGCATTTATTGTTCTTGTAGTTTAATATTTTCTAGTTTAATCTTCATTTCTAAGGTGGGTCTTTCTAGTTCTTTTTTATATCTGTCAACTCACTTTTGTCAACTCACTTTCTAATTTTGATTTATGTTGTTCTTTTGCATATGTCATTTTCTTAAAGCTTTTAGCTTTTTTTCAATACATTCTAATATAACCCCTACCTGCATATATCCCATGCATAATTTCTTTTCCTTGAGCAGGACTATTAAATATGAAGGGGTATTATTGTTAGAATTAGGTTACATTATATGGCAAAAGTGAGGGGACTTTTGGATGTAAGAGTAAAACCTTAATCAGCTGGCTTTAAGTTAATCAAGAGGGTTGGATTAGTCCTGACCCAATCATGTGACTCCTTCTGATGAGAGCCTAGAGGACAGAGGCAGAGAAGTCAGAGAGATTCAAAGCAAACAAAGCAGTGTCTCTGCAGACACTCCCCTTTTGGTCTTGAAGAAGTAAACTGCCAGGTCATGAAGGGGTAATGTGGCAGGGACTAGTGGGCAGCCTCTAAAAGCTAACAGTCTTAGTCTATAATGAAAACAGACTGAATCCTTCTAACAACCAGTGAGCCTGGAAAAGGCCCCTGAGCCCCAGTGAAATTGCAACCTCAGCCTCATGAGACCCTGAGCAGAGGACCCAACGAAAGTGTGCCTGGGCTCCTGACCCACAGAAACGACACAGTAATGAACGTATGATTTAAGTTGGTGGCAATGTGTTATGCAGCAATGGAGATGCAACAGGACAGCTTTGATCTGTCCAGGAAACACGTCACTACAGTGCACCATCGTGGCTTGTAAGGATGTCATTCGACTCTTGTTCTTTTTCTAAAAGTACCTTTATATGAGATTTGACCTTGATATTTTTCTGCTGCTACTTTTTATATGAAGTTGGTTTTCCTGATTTTCATAAGAAGGCTTGGTTCGAATAGCTTCTTCTTTCTTTTTAACTTAACAGAGATCCTTCTGTGGTTTTCGTGTTGCAGCTTGCTTGCCAGGGTTTACTGGTGTGGTTTCCCTGCTTTTATCTGGACGTTCTCTTTTCTTCACTTCCGTTCTCCCTCTTCTGCTCAATCTTGATTTTACTCCAATACATTTCACCTTAGCTTGGGGCCCTATCCAGGCAGGGGCCCTCGTGGGCTAATTTCAAGAGTTCAGAAGGTTGGACTGATCCAGTCCTGTACGGTTTTGCAGCAGAACTCTCACATTCTCTATTGGAATAGACAAAGCCCCTCCCAGTTTCAGTCACTGTCCTAAGTCCTCCAACCGAACAGCCCAGCCGGGTTCTTCCTATTGTTCTATGAGAGGCCCATGACTCCCCTGCGTTCTCCCACACAGATGCTAACACTGTGCAGGTGTTATGGCTTTAGTGACTGGTTCCACCTGCTTGTATTTGGGGGCCGATGGGGACACTCAACACCTAACTATTTTGCGAATGCTGTGCATGGGTTTTTGTTTTCCCTATGTAGTTCCTCTGTATGTTTTTACTTGCGGATTTGAGAAAATCTAAAGACTCTGCTGCTGCCACCTCTACGCAACTCCCCAGAATTCCCCCGGTGTCTCTTTTTATGGCTTGAGAAAGCTTAATTCCCAGAGATGTGAACTAATTTACTTTAAGTCACACAGCTAGTGAATGGGGAAATCAGCATTTGGAGACCCAGTTCTAATTTCAGAGCCCTTATTTTTTCTACTACATTTTAAAGAACTGCATTTGCTATAGCAATTCCCAGCTTTAACACTTAAACTGGTTTCCCATGAACAAAACCAATCAGTCATTTTAAAGACCTTCGGCACCCAACACTCCACACTGCCTGTCCAGTCTCATTTCTGCAGCTGCCTCGAGCACACCTCTGCTGTGGCCCCAAAAAGCTGTCCTCATTTCTTCCCTGATGACCTGTACTTATCCTCTACCTCTTCCTCAATGCTGGAATCAGCTGGTCCAATGGCGTTGAGTTGTCGGAACTGATTAACATTAGTGTCACTAAAATCAGTGTAAAGCCCCCATGCTAAATTTGATTGGCTTAAAAAAAAACAAAGTCCAGCTGGATGTAGTGGCTCACACCTGTAATCCCAGCACTTTGGAGGCTGAGGCGGGCAGATCACAAGGTCAGGAGTTCGAGACCAGCCTGACCAACATGGTGAAACCCTGTCTCTACTAAAAATACAAAAATTAACCGGGTATAGTGGCATTTGCCTGTAATCCCAGCTACTCGGGAGGCTGAGGCAGGAGAATTGCTTGAATCCAGAGGTAGAAGTTGCAGTGAGCTGAGATCACCCCACTGTACTCTAGCCTGGGCGAAAGAGTGAGACTCCATCTCAAAAAAAAAAACAAACACACACACACACAAAGTCTAAATCTAATGTCCCTCTGCTAACCAAATAATTAGTTACTCCAGTCATTTTTGTTCTTTTATTTGGGATTTGTGGAGGTGAGGGGAAACAGTTTGAGGCATAATCTATGCTTTTCAATACCTGTCTACATTAGTTTCCCTGCAGGGCCATGCTCCCTCTGAAGCCTGCAGGAGAGTTTTCCTGGCTCCTGGTGGTTGCTGCAACCCCTGGTGTTCCTTGGCTTTAGATGCAGCACTCCAATCCTCCATCTTCACATGCAGCTCCCCATGTGTCTGATCACGGCTCACTGCAGCCTCGATCTCCTGGGTTCAAGAGATCCTCCTGCCTCAGCCTCCCCAGTAGCTGGAACTACAGATGTGCCCCACCAAGCCCATCCAGTTTTTTGTTTTCAGTAGAGATCAGTCTGATGATGTTGCCCAGGCTGGTCTCAAACTCCTGGAAGCAAGTGATCCTCCTCCCTCGGCCTCTCAAAATGCTGTGATAGTAGGTGTGAGCCACTGTGCCCAGCCAGGCCATCTCCTCCTAATGCATCAGGGGCTCCCCTACTCTAGGATGACCTCCTCTGAGCTAATTATACCTGCGATGACCCTGCTTCCAAAAAGGTCAAATTCTGAGGTCCTGGGGATTCAGATGGCCATATATTAGTATCTTTTGGGGAGGACACAAGTCAACGCACAGCGCTCGTTCCCACTTTCCTGTCTCCCACTTAAGCAGGCAATCTCTCTTTTCACTTTTCTCTTCAGAGGAGTGATGGGAGAGCCAGCAAGCCCCTGTGGCTTTTGTGTTTTCTAGAAACCTAAGGACAGTTGGGACGGGGACATTATGGCTTGGCCAGAAGCAGGAAACACATAGAGTCTTCCCTCCAGACTCAAAAATATATTTCCCCAAGAGTGCAGCTGGGGGCAGCAAGATCCTGACAGTCCTGAGGCCCGATTTCTCTGCCACAAGCCTTGAGGAATACACAGGTAAGCCCTGGACTTCCAGGCCACCCCCAGACTGAAGTCCCACTGTGTTTGTCTTAGCTCCCTCTTCTCACAGTGGATGTAGTGACACAGACATCTCAGGTGACGATGCACTAGGGAGTAAAGTCCCCCCGATTACTCCAAGTTTCTGAGACATTTCACCAGCATCTCACGTGGTTTTGCGACATCTCTGTATAGTAAAGCAAGGGCAAATTTCACTCTACAGGCATCAAGGAGTCAGATGACCTTTACAAAATCCCCTAAGTCAGCAGCAAACCTGGGAATACATCCAGGATTTTCTGATTCAACTTTTGTATCTGCATGTGAATGTTTGCTCTAGACCTTGCTACCTTAGTAAAATAGAACAAAGTACTGTGTAAACAGTCAGCACCTTGTAAATTCTAGATAATGGCCCTGTTCAGCCTAGAAGAGATGGTCTGTTTACAAGGGAAGTGTTCTCCTTTTGGGATCCTACACCCATTCCCAATGCTGCTGGAGAAGGTGTGGCTGGACTGCTCGGGCAGAGCTGGCCCCAGACCTGGCAGGAACGCCCTTGGCTGTGCACAGCTGCCGGGGTTTTGTTGCATTTGTTTGGGAGAGTCTTAGACAAAGCACTACTTCTTGAAGTCAAGTTCCAGGGGAAGTAGAAGGAAATCATTTTTCCCTTTGCATTCCCCAAATGGAACTGCATATCCAAGGGGTAAGCCAGGCCCACAGCATCTGCTCAGAACAGACTCAGGCTTGTTCACTGCTGAATCAATGAATTATCGAGAACCTTCTTTCTTTTTTCTTTTCTTTCTTTTTTTTTTTGTTTTCAGACAAATTCTCACTTTGTTGTTCAGGCTGGAGTGCAGTGGCACGATCTTGGCTCACTGCAACCTTCGCCTCCTGGGTTCAAGTGATTCTCCTACCTCCACCTCCCAAGTAGCTGAGATTATAGGCATGCATGCCTGGCTAATTTTTGTATTTTTAGTAGAGACGGGGTTTCACCATGTTAGCCAGGCTGGTCTTGAACTCGTGACCTCACATGATCTGTCCGCCTCAGCCTCTCAAAGTGTTGGGATTATAGGTGTGAGCCATCGCGCCTGGCCTCAGGAGTTTATTTAAATAGGAAAGCTGCACTTTGTCTCTTGTCCCCTGTTGGGACAGGAGTGAGACAGGAGCATAGTTCCCCACATAGGCCTTCAGAACCGGCTTAGCGCAGGCAAGCGTCAGCAGGAAGGCCAGGCTGGTGGTGGGGAGGCCAGGAAGCAGCAGCAGTGCAGGGCCTGCTGTCCTTTGGCACACGTGTGCCTTTCACCCCTGTAGTCAGGAGAGACCCACTCTGATTTCCTCCGCAGAGCAGCCACCCCGGCAGCCACATGTGGGACGCCCCATATGTGAGGAGTCCAAGCAGAAGCTGGGGCACAGGAAGTTGCCTAGGTGAGAGATGATGGTCCAGGTGAGGGCTGATGGGGACCTGCACTGGGGTTCTAGCTTTATATAGTGGCCAGGTGCAGTGACACACCTGTAATCCCAGCACTTTGGGAGGCCAAGTCAAGTGAACCACTTGAGTCCAGGAGTGCCACCAGCCTGGGCAACATGGTGAAACCCCATCACTACAAACAAATAATGAAGTCAGCGGGGTGTGGTGGCGTGCACCTGTAGTTCCAGCTACTTGGAAGGCTGCAGTAGAAGAATCACTTGAGCCTGGAAGGTCAAGGCTTCAGTGAGCTGTGATTGGGCCACTGTACTATGGCCTGGTGACAGAGCAAGACTCTGTCTCCAAAAAGAAAGAAAGATGATAGAGCTAAAGTACCAGAGAACATGATGAGTTTTTCCTGAGAAATTGCGTAAGTTTCATTTACTGAGCAGGGAGAAGGCGTGCAGGCAGCAGACTTAGGGGCATTCAGGAGTTCTCTTCGGGCCATGGTAAGTTTGAGGTGCCTTCTGACATCCAAAGGGTGATGCTAAGCAAATGGTTTGTAGCCCTGTCTGGGACTTAGATACAAGGACAGTGGTGGAGTTATAGATTTTCAGTGTCATCGGTGCAGAGATGGTGGAAGTCAAAGGATTGCCGTCCTGGTTTCCTGTGACTGTCATAACAGGGCACACATACTAGTTGATCTAAAGCAACAGCTGTTTATGCCGTCACAGCTCTGTAGGCTGGAAGTCCAGGACAGGAGCATGCCCTCTCCAAAAGCTCTAGAGGAGAATCTTTCCCGCCCTCTTCCAACTTCTGGTCCATCTTTTGCATGATTGCACGTCTTCAGCCTGCAGCCGTGTTGCTCCATCTCTGCCCCTGCCTTCAGCTGGCCTTTCCCCTCTATCGATGTCCAAATCTTCCTCCTGTATGAAGACACCAGTCGCTGGGTGAGGGCCCACTCTGCTCCGCTATGACCTCATCTTAACCTGCTGTCTTTTGCAAAGACCCTATTTCCAAACAAGGTTCTGGTGGACAGGAATCTCGGAAGGACAAAATCCAATTCAGAACAGTTACCTAGGGAAGGGGTCTAGACAGAGATGAAACACAAGTACAGGACGTTGAGGTCCCAATGTTTAGAGGACGGATTGAGGAGAAGGAACTCCCTGGGGACACAGGCAGTATGACAGTGGGACTGAGGTCGGGAAGATGGCAAGTTCTCATTTGATACCACTTTTTTTTTTTTTTTGAGACTGAGTCTTGCTCTGTTGCCCAGGCTGGAGTGCAGTGGCGAGATCTTGGCTCACTGCAGTCTCCACCACCCAGGCTCAAGTAATTCTCCTGCCTCAGCCTCCTGAGCATCTGGGACTACAGACGCGAGCCACCACACCTGGCTAATTTTTGTATTTTGAGTAGAGATGGGGTTTCACCATGTTGGCCAGGCTGGCCTCGAACTCCTGACCTCAAGTGATCCACCCACCTCAGCCTCTCAAAGTGCTGGGATTACAGGTGTGAGCCACCGCACCCAGCATGATAGCACATGTTTTATCTGTCGGCTTTGGTGAAGTCACCAACTGAGAGCTGGGAAGTGAGGCTGGGTCGGGTGTCCATTCGAAACTGATTTGGAAGAAATGTATTTAACCCGGTCTCTCCAGCCATGTCCATCAACTAAGGTTGCGTGAGAAATGGCTGGGCTCCATTGCTGGTGGCCTGTATGTCAGAGGGAGAAACGAGCAAGGGAGGATAGAGGGTTTGCGAAGCAGCGTCAGAGTGGAATTGGGGTTTGACGAGGCAGGAGGTGAGAGCCGGGAATGCTGGAGAGTGGGAAACGATGGCCTGGGGAGGGGAGCCTCATCCGGGTGGGGGGATTGTTGATGTGGGGGTACAGAGCGAGTGAGCAGGGGTGGAAGGACAAAAGGTGGCAGCGGTGGATGCTGGAAATTGAGGTTTCAGAGGTGGCACAGGGCTCGGTTGTAACAAAATCTAGTGTCAGCCCTGTGAGCGCGTGGCTGAGGCTGGTGGAGCTGGAAAATAGGAATCACAAGGCCAAGGCAGCACCCAGGACTCCACTGGGAGACTGTACTCTGGCAGGAAGACATGTGGCTTGCTTGACTTCCACCCCCAACTCCAAATGGTAGGAAATAAAAGGCAAAGGAAAGAAAGGCAACTTTCAGTGCCAGGACTTGAAGGCCAAGATCTCTGAGGCACGGGAAGCCGGCCTGTTGTCGGGCCACCTGCCAGGCTCCCAGGCTTTGGCCAGGTCCTTCCCACACACAGAGTGGCAGGCCAAGAAACCAAGAAGAGGGCAGTGGCAAAGAGGCCACACAGAGCTTCCGGCAGCCTCACAGAGCTGGGAGGACCAGAGCCTGGAATTCTGCACCTGCTTGGGAGGAGGGACCCAAGAAATGCCTAAACTTACTTCCAAGAAGGGTCAATCGGAAATAGGCCATCGCCAGAGAGTTGAAATTTAACTTGAAATGGGAATGAAGGAGCTAGACACTAACAGAAAGAAAAGTTTAACAGAAGCAGGGACTGAAGCTGGAGAATCGCCTGAGCCTGGGAGGTCGAGGTCGCAGTGAATCGAGATCGCACCACTGCACTCCAGCCTGGGCAACGGGAGTGGCACCCTGTCTCCAAAAGAAAAGAAAGATAGAAACAGGGGTTCCACTAATTTACTAATTGTCGTCATAGAACCAGTGGAAATGTACTCCCAGCTTAAGTTCCTGAGGCCCTGCCAACTCTTCTTCTTAAGCCTGGAGCCGTTTCACTTGCTTTATTATGATTATTCAGCTTGAAGTATAAAAACTTGTCACTGGGTAAGATTTCCTCAGGTGCGTCAAGACCTTTCCAAGAGGCAGATTTGTTAAATATCGAATGATGAAAAATCTGTAGGAATTCGGCGGGCACAGTGGCTCACGCCTGTAATCCCACACTTTGGGAGGCTGAGGTAGGCAGATTATAAGGTCAGGAGTTTGAGACCAGCCTGGCCAACATAGTGAAACCCTGTCTCTACCAAAAATACAAAAATTAGCTGGGTGCGATGGCCCACGCCTGTAATCCCAGTTACCCAGGAGGCTGAGGCAGGAGAGTTGCTTGAACCCTGAAGGCAGAGGCTGCGTGACCAGGGATCACGCCACTCCAGCCTGGGTAACAGAGCAAGACTCTTATCTTGAAAAAAAATGTCTGCTGGAATTGGAAGTGAATCTGACGTGCGCATTTGTCTTGGTGGAGAATCCTCAGTTGCAATTCCAGCTTCCTGTTTCCTGCTGTTGCCTCTGCACGTTGGTTCTCTCCATTGTAATCTCGGACTTCTTTAAATAGAGAATTTAGCTTGACCTTCTTTGCTGGCATTTTTCCCTTTTCTATCTCAACACGACTGCCTAACACATTCTTGGGTAATGATGCTACTGAAAAAGGGAAGAATAATAGCGACAGAGCTGCGAGGATTGGAAACCCAGGGCTACAGCTGTGAGAACCTGTGCCTCTGTTATGCAAAGAGGAACCGAGAGGCAGAGATATTTAGGAACGTGCTCTTAAAACCTGAAAAGTGGCCGGGCACAGTGGCTCACACCTATAATCCCAAAACTTTGAAAGGCCGAGATGGGTGGATCACCTGAGGTCAGGAGTTGGACTTGGTGAAACCCAGTCTCTACTAACAATACAAAAACATTAGCTGGGCATGGTGGTGCATGCCTGTAATCTCAGCTACTCGGGAGGCTGAGACAGGAGAATTGCTTGAACCCAGAAGGCAGAGGTTGCAGTGAACCAAGATCGTGCCACTGCACTCCAGCCTGGGCAACAAGAGCGAAACTCCATCTCAAAAAAAAAAAAAAAAAAACCCTCAGAAATATAGGAGCTAAGCCCGACCTCTTTCCCTTGCAGCCTGCTGCCTCAACGCCAAGCTCGGGTGGCACATTCTGGCACTTTCATCGGCACCCTGCGGTGTGCATCAAAGATGAGAGAAAGTCATGCCCCGGGCCAGTATCCAACCTTCACTGGCTGTCTTGTCATGTGTTCATTGTTTTATGTGCCACAAATATTTATTGAGTGCCTATGCGGTGCCAGGCATTGTTAGAAGCTGGGCTACAGAGACAAAGGAACTCAAGGGCAAGGCAGTCTAGGACGGAGGCAGACAGACAGACAGCAGACAATTACAATGCCAAGTGTCAAATCTCTGGGGAAAGGGAGGACATGGCGTTCTACAGCAGACAGTTACCAAACCTAAAGACATCAGGGTGAAAACTGGAAATGACCCAGATGCTAAATAAGAGAACGGCTCATTGTCCTATAGAAGAATGTTAATCAGCCATTTCATTTCCGGAGACATGAAAAAGGTGTTTTTCATATGACACTCTGTGAAAACAGCCGGCTGTGAAACAGAATCTAAATCTGGGACCCCTTATGTTTTTCTGTAAACCAAAATTCTGCTGAAGGCCATCAGACGTGCTGAATACCTTCTGTTTGCAGATTCATAAGCTGCATCAATGGGCGCCTTGACCTCTGGCTTCTGGTTGGCTTGGACCAGTGGAAGGCCCCCCCACCCCTGCCTGGGCCACTGGGCCGAGGGAGGAGAGGGAACTTGGGAATGTGTTCTCGCCGTTCCCTCCCTGCCTGCCTCAGTGCTGCTGGGTCCCCTGGCCACTGCTGGCAGATCCTACAGGCTCTGAGAGCTGCTCCCTTCACCTCTTCAGGCCGAGGGAGCTGAGGCGCCTTGCTGTCACCAGCTCCAGGGCTGTGCACCATCCTCTGGGGCTCCCTAGACTTGTAAACAGTCCCTTTATTAATCTCTCTTCAAATTACAAACTACATAAATTGTGGGTGCCAACTATCTCCTCCTGGAGCCCTGGTGAATAGACAGCTGGTGTCTGCGATTGTGGGTCATTTTTCTTGTGCTCTCATGCATGTTGCCAGCTATGTATAACAGTCATCTTTGGGGGTTTGTGGCCAACTCATAACCCCTCATCCTCTCAGAACTGTCCCCCAAATCACAGGGATAGGCCTAGCACCCACGTTTGCATGAAATGCTGGTAACAGATTGGACTGGAGTAGAGATCCAAGCTCAACCAGGCCAGCCAGCTGCCCTCTCCCAGGTGCCTGGTCAAGACTGGAGAAAGCCCGGCCAGTCTTGGTGGACGGACATCCTATGGACAAAGAAAGAGGAAAGGCCATCTGCAGAGGGACTAAAGGGACAGCCTTGGACCTTTGGACCCTTGTTTTGTGAGAGCACATTCACAAGTGTTTTTTATCCAAATTAAGATATAAGATAACAGCATACGTATTGTTCTGCCATCAGGTTTATAGCTCGCCGTAGTGAGAACAGTCTCCCTTATCGTGAAATAGGCTTTTACAACATGGTTTGTAGTGACTGCAAGTGCTCTGCGGCATGGATGTTATCATGAGTTACATCTAGGGCCTTGCCCAGGATTAGAATCAATTTATTGGGCTAGATTTTGTTGAAACACCTGCCTCTTTTGGAATTCAGGACCACAGTTGCTTCAGTTTTTTTGCACTTTTGCTGTTTCCCAGCATTCTTTATTTTATTTTACTATTACTATTTTTTGAGACGGAGTCTTGCCCTGTTGCCCAGGCTGGAAGAGCAGTGGCACAGTCTCAGCTCAACCTAACCTCAGCCACCAGGGTTCAAGCAATTCTCATGCCTCAGACTCCCAAGTAGCTGGGACTACAGATGTGCACCACCACACTCAGCTGATTTTTGTATTTTCAGGAGAGAGAGGTTTCACCATGTTGGCCAGGCGGGTCTCAAACTCCTGACTTCAAGTGATCCACCTGCCTGAGCCTCCCAAAGTGCTGGAATTACAGGTGTGAGCTGCCGCATGTGGCCTCCAGTGTTCTTTAAGGCGCATCATACGTCTACCAATGTCTTCTGTATCTAGCACTTCCTTCACCCTTCGAAATCTAATCTGTTCAGATCAGATGGTCACATGACCTCCTGAATGGAAATTAACCTTGGTTGAGCGAAGCTCTGTGCTAGGTCGGGCTATCTCACTATGTATCACAGGTCTCGTTTAACCGTCAGATGGCCTGTGTGCTTGTTTCTATTTTCTCCTCTTAGAGCTGGATACCATCTTGGAGGATGAGCGTGGGTTTCTTGCATGAAAGCAGCTTGTGGAGCAGATTGGAGCAAACCCCAGGACCTTCTGCCTCAGAGTCTGTGCATAACACAGCCTCCCTCAGACTGATGTTTGCTCTGCCCTTCATGGTTTGAAGATAATGATCCTTGATAGAATAGAAGCCAAATCAGAGTTCAGCAGCGCTGTTTTTTCATCTGTTAAATTTCACCATCTGTTCCAAGCAGGGAGCCTCTTCTTTCTTGTTCCTGTTTTTCTGGGCATAACTAAAATCTATTTTAAAAGCTGACTCAGCATGACTTGCAAGCCTTGGTACAGGATGGCTCTTAGCTTTTGTGACGTGTTTTAGCCTCTGCCCCTCTTTTCTATGTGTACTGGGTGATGATCAGTTCAGCAGCAGCAGAGAACGTGGGTTTGAAGTTTGGCTGACCTGAATTTGAATCATCAATCTTGGCAATAGACCAGTCAGCAGCTATGTGAACTCAAGTGACTCCATCTTGCTGAGCTTCTGCTGCCTTGAGTGACCCCTCTCATTACCTGGCTGACCACCACCCCTGCCATTCTCCAAGCCCCTGTGCAGCCCCTCCCACTTCGCAACTGGGCTGGCCCTGTGCCTCACTTTGCCAACAGAAAGTGGCAGAATGGTGCTGTGCCACTCCTAGTCTAGGCCACAAGAAAATCTCGTGGCCTCTGCTTTCGTACTTTGATGAGTTCTGCACCACCGAGGAAGAAATCTGTCTGCCCTGCTTCTCCACCTCCAGGTGAAAACGCTATATGGAGAAGGGTGTAGAAGAGGCAGAGACCCAGCCATCCCCAGATCCCAGCTCAGCCTGGCCTTCCAGCTGTCCCTGCCAGGGCCCCAGACCCAAGTGAGCAGTGCAGGCCAGTCCCAAGGTGGCCGCAGCCTCACCACGTGGAGCAGAAAAACGTCCCACAGAATCTAGTCAACCCACAGAATCCTGGAGCGAACTGAATGGCTGTTTTCAGCCACTGTGATTTGGGTTGGTTCATACACAGCAATAGGTACCCAGACATTGTTAAACGGGAGGAGAAACTAAGGCCTGCAGTGCTTAGCGTGGTGCCCGGCACACAAGATGGAGCTACTGTTACTTGACCTTGTCAAAGTTGCGTTGGGTTGAGTGCCCCTCTGAGACTAATTCCTTGAACATGTACTTGATACTTTGTTTTGGGTGTTTGTTTGTTTTTGTTTTGTTTTGTTTTGTTTTTCTGAGATGGAGGCTCGATCTGTCACCCAGGCTGGAGTGCAGTGGTGTGATCTTGACTCACTGTAACCTCCGCCTCCCTGGTTCAAGCAGTTCTCCGGCCTCAGCCTCCTGAGTAGCCGGGATTACAGGTGCCTGCCACCATGCCTGACTACTTTTTGTATTTTTAATAGAGATGGGGTTTCACTATGATGGCCAGGCTTGTCTTGAACTCTTTACCTCACGTGATCCACCTGCCTGAGCCTCCCAAAGTGCTGCAATTACAGGCATGAGCCACTGCCCCTGGCCCTTGAACACACACTTTGGACAAAAAAGCCTTGAGTAATCTCAGAATCATCACTCTGTCTCTCCTTAGTACCATGGCCAGAGGGAGTTACTCTCCATTCATTCTCCACTCTAAGACACGACGTTGGCAGCCAGGGAATGCAAGGGAGATCAGCACTGAACCCGCAGCCCTCACAGTGCCCTTCTTTTAACATCTCTGTTGCCTCTACGAAATCAGTGCTGGGGTTTCCATGGCTCCGTGCCCTGCAGCAGGGAGCTTCTTGTCAGCTGTGAGCCCCTAGGAAGATGACACTCTCTGATGAGACCGGTTTCCTTCCCCACAGCTTGCCTTGCCTATACAGAAGGAGTGAGGCAGAGGGTCTCCAAGGTTTCACCTGGCCCTTTGCTTCACAGAGCATTTCCTCCCAGATTAGTGAAGTCAACTGCTCCATCACCTGAGGTCTGTGTAAAGGAAAAGGTCGAGCTGGGACCCCAGTCTGGCTTGGCCAAGTCTCCTCCAGAAGTAGCGACAGGCACAGAGGCACACCCAGGAAGTGCTGGGGCACTGCTTTCCATCTGGATAACTGACACTGGATAAGATTTTATTCTGAGCCCGTGTCGCCTCCCTGGAACTGTCCCCTGATGTGCAGGAGTCACGATAAACCATACTGTAGTCATGTTAAATTGTTTGATAATTATAAAGATAAAACCCTTCTTTTGCAGTCATAGTTTGCCACTGACCGCTATTTTCATAGTTAAAACATCACTTTCTTAAATGAGTAACACCATGCATCGAGATGCGGATGCACTGTGTTCGAGTGATGGGCCATTCTCCCTTTCCCGAGCTAATGAGAAAAGAGCACTCGGTGTAGCGTGTACATGAAGTTTTGGAGCAAGGAAAGTCCAATGATATTAACGTCACTGAGCAAACACAGGTTTCTCAAAAGTGTGGATATTTTAACGTGAAGACAAAATGAAAACGACAGTAAGAAAGCCTAAGTTATGGTCAGACCTTGAAACTGCACAAATGCATCATTTCCAGCATTCATTGCTTTCCTTCCACAGCCTATGCTGAACTAAGACTTCTTTTCTTTTTGCAGGGATTAATAACCAAGTTTAATTTCTATCCCTGAGCCTGGCAGTATTAAACTAAATATTTTTTAATGTAGAAAACAACATCACCGTATTGCTAACTTTATGTGAGATACGGTTTCACAGTTTGTAATACTACCTCACTTAAGCCGACATTTCGATTGCTTGCTAGCAGCATTTGGTTAAATATGAGGAGTGATGAGTGTAAGCCAGCCAACAAAGCCCTTAGATTAATCACGACACTTTGCACAACATGCTTATATGAAAAGACATTCTCTATGTCTAAACACGGAACCGGACGGAAGACTGCATTACTTTCCCTATGAAAACACACTTCAGAGGTTGTGTTTCATCCCCCACATTCAATGATCACGCTCTATAGAGTTGGAAGGTTTTGTTTGTAAATATGTTTCCCTAGCTGAGTAAGTACAAGGAGTTCAACCTTTCACATGCTTAAAGTACTTTGCATTTGTGTATTTAAAGTGCTATTGCGATAAAAAATAATTTAAATCTACACCAGAGGTGCATTTCTGAGCTGGAGCAACGTGGTCATCCACAGGAGGGGTGGGGCACGGAGGGAAATGGCAAAGAAGAGGGCTGATATCACCACCTGCCACCCCACACCTCCTAGCAGCTCCCAGAAAGCTTTGAGGACGGCCAAGGAGAACGTTTGCACCACCCTGGGGCCCCGTCAGGTGGAGGGAGGTGTTTAGATGCTGAGATCTCAGGGATCCTCTGGACAGGAACTAAAACACAAGAAAAATGTTTTGGTTTTTTATTTTCTTAGATGGAGTCTCCCTGTGTCACAGCTGGAGTACAGTGGCACCATCTCGGCTCGCTGCAACCACTGCCTCCTGGGTTCAAGCAATTCTCCTGCCTCAGACTCCCAAGTAGCTGGGACTACAGGTGTGCACCACCACAGCTGGCTAATTTTTGTATTTTTAGTACAGATGGGATTCCACCATGGTGGCCAAGCTGGTCTTGAACTCCTGACCTTAAGTGATCTGCCTTCCTCAGCCTCCCAAAGTGCTGGGATTAGAGGCATGAGCCACCGCGCCCAGGCAGGATCAGTGTTTTTGTCCCTGTCATCGCCACCCACACTTCCCAGAGTGTCCTTCCTCAGGCTGGCCCTGGAGTTTGTGGTGAGGGTGCTGGACAAGGGAATTCAAATAAGCAAACGCCACTGGGTCCTAGGGCCCAGAACAGTTCTTCCTCCCAAAGGTCTAATATAGGACTAGACATTGGGAACTGTGTCATCCCTTCTGCTTCCAATCTTTCCTAACTACCAAGAATATCTACACATGGAATGCTCAAATACAAAGGCAATCTTCCCTTGGGCTCTGCTCAAAATATCTACCTCCTCTGTTCTCTCATTCATTCACTCAGCAGAATTTTTTTAGGAGCGGGGCTCCCGAGGTGGCGGGGACATGAGTGCCTCCTGGAGGATCCACGGTCCACTCAGGCACAGACAGGGAACAGGGACACCAGTCCAGGTAACAGGGACTGCGGGGAAACGCAGCAGGACACCCCACTGCAGATGCTGGGTGGTGTTTCCAAGAAGGGGCTTCAGAACTAAATCTAGGGTAAGAGGGCAAGAGGCCCTGCAGGCAGAAAGGTGCCCGGCCGGGACGCAGGCCACCACAGTGCCGGACAAGAGGAGCAGGTGGAGTGGGGGGCACAGGCAAACTGCAGTCAGTGACCCAGCAGTGGGCCAAGGGAGGTGACAGAGGCCTCCGGCAGGCGAGTGAGTCTCTACTTTGATTATGAGACCATAACCCTGGCAACAAAGTGAGGAGGCAAGAACCTGGGAGAAGCCAGTGCGGCAACTGCCGGAATCGATGGACGTGGAAGAAACGCAGGCCTGACCAGGGTGGCTCCATATGAGCCCATTTCTGAGGTCGCACCAAGGGTTCCATGACTCACTGGGTTGGGAGGAAAGGATGGAAAAAGGTAAGAATGATACAAAGTTTTTACCCTTAAAGGTTTTTACCTTTAAAAACCAGGTAAGTGGGCTGGGCGTGGTGGCTAACGCCTGTAATCCTAATACTTAGGGAGGCCAAGGCGGTGGATCACCTGAGGTCAGGAATTTGGTGAAACCCCGTCTCTACTAAAAATACAAAAAATTACCTGGGCGTGGTGGCAGGCGCCTGTAATTCCAGCTACTCGGGAGACTGAGGCAGGATACTTGCTTAAACCCAGGAGGCGGAGGTTGCAGTGAGCTGAGATCACACCAATGCACACTCTAGCCTGGGCCACAAGAGCCAAACTCTATCTCAGAACAAACAAACAAACAAAAACAGATAAGTGCTGGCATAATGGGAGAACAGAGGGAAGTGGGGAGGTTCTGAGTAGGAAGGGAAAAGGACGAAAGTTCAGTTTGTACCTGTGAAGTTCGAGATCCCTGATAGCAAGACCAGATGGAGTGGAATAGAGGGTGTGGAGGTGAGAGAGTGAAAGATGCTGGAACGTCGGCTTGAATCGTTAGCGAGAACATGAGAAGATGCCATGGGAAGGAGGGCGATTGTCAAGGGAAAAGTAGAGCAAAGATGGCGGATGTGTAGTGCACCTGACCCACTCCTGCCCTCTGTGCCCGTGGCAGGCATTGTCAATCAATCACAGCACTCTTCGCGCACAGTGAAGACAGCACAGGAAAAGGATTCCTGGAGGCTGGAAGGGTGCGCGGCGTCAGATGCTGCAGTTGGCTCAAACAGGATGAGGTCTGAAATAGGCTGGGGGTCAACATCCGGGAAGGCATTGATCTTTTCTTAGCTCTCTCACAAACGATTTTTTGTTGTTGTTTTAATATTATGTTTATATTTTCTTTTACGAAAGAACCCTGGCAAAAATTGAAAATACTGAATCACGCAAAGAAAATAATTGCACCAAAAGATTTAATTACCAGCAATGGTGAAATTATAGGTGATTATTTCCAGTCTTTTTTACAGCCATGCATAGTTGCAGTCATACGATATACACAATTTGTGATTTTTCACTTGATATTATAGCATTTCTAATTACTTATTTACCTTTTCTCTTCACTGTTAAGCATGTGGGCAGTTTCCAAATTTTGTTGCCAAAATAACGTTTGTAATAAACTCTTTTAAAACATAATCTACACTTGACTTTTAATATTTACTTAGAATAGATTTCTAGAAGTGGCCAAAATAAACATTTTAAGACTCTTGATATAACAAATGCATTTCAGAAACGTTATGCTGATTGGCACATCCACCAGCAGAGAACAAAAGTATTTAAATGACTGCATGATTTTTCTTGTTTTTTTTTTTTTTTTTTCTTAAACTGATACAAATCCTTTTTGGAAATCAGCTTATAGTATAATAAACATACACACACACCTAACATATATTTATATGTGTGTTATTTGTATATAACATACATTTGTGTATCTTTATGTCTGTATACACATCTACACATAGAAATGCCTTTCTCCAAATAATTTTAGTGATCAAGGCACCAATATGAAGGCAAAAGGCTTTAATCACCTCTTCTACATGACAGTAATCATGAAACAGATTCTTTTGCTTACCCAAATAGTAGGTGGTGAAACCAGAATCACACTCACTCCTGTCTTTTTTTTTTGAGACGGAGTTTTGCTCTTGTTACCCAGGCTGGAGTGCAATGGCACAATCTCGGCTCACTGCAACCTCCGCCTCCTGGGTTCAGGCAATTCTCCTGCCTCAGCCTCCTGAGTAGCTGGGATTACAGGCATGCCCCACCATGCTCGGCTAATTTTTTGTATTTTTAGTAGAGACGGGGTTTCACCTTGTTGACCAGGATGGTCTCGATCTCTTGACCTCGTGATCCACCAGCCTCGGCCTCCCAAAGTGCTGGGATTACAGGCATGAGCCACCGCGCCCAGCCTCACTCCTATCTTGGTTGAAACTCGGTGCTTTATTTCCTGTGAGCTACATTGAAGAGAGCTCATCCTTGAACGGCAAGATTGTCATGGTTCTTTCAAAGATGGCGTTAGAGGGGTGGTGCTGCTGTTTTCTACAACTCCTTTCTGGTTTCTGGTTGATTCCGTCTTTAGGAGAAGGTCCCCAGCCCTCACCAGGAATCCCAGTCTCCAAAGGCGGTCAGAACATGGTCCTCTCTCATTGGGCATTAGCCTGGATAAAAGCCAGCATTGAGGTCATATTTATTATACGATTGTGTAATAAAAGCTCTTTACTGGTGAATTGGCCACTGGCAGCCTTTTTCTGAGAATTCTAGTGGACCAAATGTACAGAGTAACAAGAAAAACAGGGCCTTAGGAAGCTTCCCAAAGGAGTGGAAGGAGCACCCGCTGTAGGTGCTGGGGACACCCATGGGTTGCGCCTGTTCGCTGCACTCTCAATTCCCTTCCTCTAGCTGCTGGGTGTCACTTACTCTGTCAATAGTTGGTTACACTGTGTGTTTTAAAACACTGTTCGGATTGTCACTGGGCCCTGTGATATGTCCTCTTTGCTGTAAGGAGTTGTTTTGTAGATTTGGGAACATGGGGTAGGGGTGTCACTTCTCATGCCTGAGGGCATAAGAGTGTCCAATGACACCTAGTTTCCAGAGCACTCCAGCCTAGCCCAGGAGGCTGTTCTCTTGTTAAACTTACTTGTTCTAGCTCTCCCTCTTGTGGGCCATCTATGAAATAAAATACACCAATCTTTTTTTTTAACAGTCTTCCACTGTTGTCCAGGCTGGAGTGCAGTGGTGCAATCTCGGCTCACTGCAGCCTCCGCCTCCCTGGTTCAAGTGATTCTCTTGCCCCAGCCTCCTGAGTAGCTGGGATTACAGGCACCTGCTACCACACCCAGCTAATTTTTGTAATTTTAGTAGAGACAGGGTTTCACCATGTTGGTCAGGCTCGTCTCAAACTCCTGACCTCAGGTGATACACCTGCCTCGGCCTCCCAAAATGCTGAGATTACAGGTGTGAACCACAGCACCCCGCCAACACCAATCATTTTTTAATAGATATGATGAAGAATATTATAGGTTATAAAAAAATGATTTCTGTGAGTACCGTAAGTTTCAACATATAAGACCTTTAGTTGTTTTTATTATGAACATTACAGACTTTTTAAGTGTATGTAGAGAATAATATAAAAATACCCATCACCCACAAAGCAGCTTTATCACATCTTAACATTCTGCCCCACATTGACTTCAGATCCTTTAAAAACAGTAAAATAGATGCAGTTGAGGGTCCCTAAATGTACCCTCTCCCTGAAGTCCTCATGGTTCTGAATGTGTCTGTATTCTCCCATACATATGTGTATACTTCTCTGCATGTATGTGTGCCGATGCAGTCCACAATACTGTTTTATATGTTTGAAACTTTACAAGAGGTTATTGTCACACTGAATGTATTCTCTTGCAATCTGCTTTTCTCCTCAATATTATACTTCTGAAGTTTTCCCTTGTGTTTTTGTTTCATTCATTTTCCTCTTCGGTATGCCATTGATTGTATAAAAATCACAGTATATTTACCGGTTCTCTTATTCCGGGATATTTGGGTTGTTTCCATGTGTCCTCATCACAAACCATGCTGTAATGAACGCTCTTGGTCTTGCCTCCTTGCCTGTATGTGGGAATTTTCTAAGATATCATAAAAGTGGAGTGGGGGGCCTTACACTTGGCATCTTGAGCTTTACAGCTCGCAGAGGCCGGTATGACTTTACCTTCCCACCATCAGCAGAGCCCTTTCCTCTCCTGTCATCTGTCCTCCTGGGCAGCCAGGTGGAAGGCTGCCCCATGAATCAAGCCTTCACCACGTGCCAAGCACCAGGTTGCGTGAACTGCCATGTATTTTCTTGTTTAAAAATTACAACAATCTTTTGGGGGCAGCATTAGCAAGCCCGGTGACACCTGAGAGGTCCAGGACTCTGCCCATGGTGTCGTAGATCATGAACTGCAGAGCAGACGTGAAACTGATGCAGCCTCACCTGTCTGACCCCAGAGCTGCTGTTTGACCACTGGGCCGTAAGGATGATTTAAAGACTCACCTGTAGAATGCTGAGATGGAGGAGGACACATCTTCCTAGCGCAGCCTCCAAGCCAGGTTGCTGAGATCTGAGAACAAAAATTAGAAGAAAGGCTGGGTGCAGTGGCTTACCACTGTAATCCCAGCATTTTGGGAGGCCGAGGCAGGCAGATGGCAGATCACCTGAGGTCAGGAGTTCGAGACAAACCTGGCCAACATGGCGAAATCCTGTCTCTACTAAAAATACAAAAATTAGCTGGGTGTGGTGGCGCGTGCCTGTAATCCAGTTACTTGGGAGGCTGAGGCATGAGAATCGCTTGAACCCAGGAGGGCAGAGGTTGCAGTGAGCCAAGATCGCATCACGGCACTCCAGCCTGGGCGACAGAGCAAGACTCCGTCTCAAAGTAAATAAATAAATAATTAGAAGAAAGAAGGAATAAGCCCTTTAAATTTTTTAATTTTGAAAGTCATTATTATACATTCAAAGGAGCATATTTAATGTTAATGTATAAATAAGGAAAAATAATAAAATGAACAGATGGTAAGAAGGGAGCCAGGGAAATGGAAATTAAATGTATCTAGATACCTAAGGAAAATAGACTTCAGCGTGGGAAAATAGCAGTGGAGGTTTTGACAGTAAGCATTCATTTTCCTTTCAATTACTCAGGCTCAGCGAGTGTTTTTCCACAGTGCAGGAGTCTAAAGCTGCTTTGCCATGTGCTCGGAGCAGCTGACCTAAATCTGGTAGAACAGAGGAGTGGGGACCGTCACATCAACAAGAATAGATGGAGTGTGCGCCTGCCTGGAAACAAAGCAGAAATGGAAATAAGTCAAGAAGAGGGAAAAGGAAGTGGATTCTCCAGCGGGTCTCTGCTCAGCCCAGGAGGAGCTGAGGATTCCTCCTGAGCGCCCTGGGGAGCTGTTGGTTTCACACTGGTTTGACAAGAGTCTGACTTGACCTGGGCACTTGGCTTTTATTTCTCCCTGTTGTTTTTGTTTGTTTGTTTTTGAGATGGAGTCTTGTTCTGCTGCCCACACTGGAGTTCAGTGGCACAATCTCAGCTCACCGCAACTTCTGCTTCCTGCATTCAAGTGATTCTTATGTCTCAGCCTCCCCAGTAGCTGGATTACAGGCATGTGCCAACATGCCCAGCTAATTTTTGTATTTGTTGTAGAGATGTGGTTTTGGCATGTTGGCCAGGCTGGTCTCGAACTCCTCACCTCTGATGATCCATCCACCTTGGCCTCCCAAAGTGCTGGGATTATAAGTGTGGGCTACTGTGTCCGACCTCTATCCTTTTATTCTTAAGAGGAATTAAGTAATGCAAAAATCAACAGAGCTTAGTATGTCATCTAGTGGTGAACATCTATTTGAATTAAAGAAGAAAAGTGCTAGGGTGTTTGTTTTGTTCTAAGATGCAGAGGTATCCGTTGTATATTAGAGTTGTTCATGTTTACTTTAATTGACTTCCAAATTAGAGGAGTCAAAGCAAACCAGAAGTGAAAGTTAGCAAGTATTACAGGAAGTCGAGAGGAAGGAAATGTGCTGATGTGGAAGTGAAACTGCCTTTTAAATAGCACATCAAGAGCAGACTAGGGAAAGCAGGTAGTTTTCTTGGCATGCGTAAAAGATATAGGTTGTCTTATGTGCTTTTATACAATAAAAGTATAACTGATACCTTGATCTTAACTTTGTTAAACTGTGAAAAGAGAAAGAACTTGGTGATGTTCAGATACCTCGATATCTTTAGCTTCACCAAAAATGGGTCACATGCCTTGACCATGACTTATTCATTTTTCCCACCTTCAGGCCTATCATTTCCCCGCTTAAAATGCCTTTATGCTGCTCACATTTCCTATCAGAATTTCAACTATCCTATTAAGGACTTCGAAAACTTGACTTATTTTTTTTTTTTTTTCAAGACAGTGTCTCACTCTGTCACCCAGGCTGAAGGGCAGTGGTGTGATCTCAGCTCACTGCAACATCTGCCTCCCAGGTTCAAGCAATTCTCATGCTTCACCCTACCAAGTAACTGGGACTACTGATGTGTGCCACCACTCTTGGCTTTTGTATTTTTAATAGAGACAGGGTTTTGCCATGTTGCCAGGCTGGTCTTGAACTCCTGACCTTAAGTGATCCTCCCCCTTTGGCCTCCCAAAGTGCTGGGATTATAGGCATGAGCCATTGTGCCTGGCCCTAACTTAAATTTTTTATGGAAGGACAAAAGTCCCTGGAATGCTAAGTCCAACTTGCCCAACTAGGAGTTAAGATACAATACAAAACCAAGGACAGGCACAAAGACCAGGGGGACAGGAGAGCAACCCCAGAGAGAGACTATTCTACATGGGAATCATTACACAATAAAGGCAGCCCAGAAATCGTGGGGAAAGGATGCGTTACTTGTGGATATTTAGAAGTCATTTCAGTGTCTGCAGAAGAAGAAAACCAACATCACCTACATAGAACTACTCAGAATGAAATCAACACTGAATATGATCAGTAAAATGATATTAACAGAATATGATGAAGGCACATTTCCTTGTGATCCAAGGGTGGGGAAGGACCTCTTAAAATTTCAAAGCACAAGCTGTAGGCAAAAAAAAAAAAAAGAAATTATGATTATTTTTAGTACAACAGAATGAAACTCTTCTGGTCAATAAGTGGCCCGCTGACAAGGTTAACTCAGGCTTTGTTCCGGCGCACGTGGCTTACTGCACATCACAGATGTTTTATTTCTCACAAATGGAAGTTTTGTGGCCACCCTGTGTTGAGCAAGCCTGTCGGTGCCATTTTTCCAACAGCACGTGCTCAACGTATGTCACTGTGTCACATTTTGGTAATTCCTGCAGTATTTAAAACTTTTTCAAGGAGATGATCCAAGATGGCAGAATAGGAACAGCTCTTGAGCGTAGTTCCCAGCAAGAACTCAGAGGGTGAGTGATCACTGCATTTCCAGATGAGTTATTACTGCCCACAGACCAGGAGATTCCTGGGCGGAAAAACACCATGAATCTCCAGCATAGCTGTTTCAGTTGGTACAGTGGGTCTCTGCACAAAAACTCACACAAATCTGGGCACCGTTTCAACTGGTGCCTGGAACACATGGGAGACAGAGTCGCCCACTCAACTGAATAAAAGGGGGCTGAAACAGCGTGCCAGGTGATCTGACTTGGTGGGTCCTACCCCCACAAAGACCAGAAATCTGAAACGCTCTGGACTGAGAGCTTCACAGCAAGCACAGCTGGACCCTGGTCAGTCTAGATCTGTGGGAGGAAGGGCATCGGCCATTACCGAGGCAGTCCACCATTACAGAGATACTCCGCCATTACTGAGGCAGACCTCCATTACTGAGGCAGACCTCCATTACTGAGGCAGTTCTAACTACACCTCTATAAACAAAACTGCAAGGAAGTTCACAGTAGCTGGGCAGAGCCCATGTTAGCTCAGCAATGCCTCTGCTGCCATACTGTGACCAGACAACCTCCTTGCAGGGCAGGGCATCTCTGAAAAAAGGCAGCAGCACATCAGGAACTTATAAATAAAGCCCCACCTTCCCAGGACAGAGCACCTGGGAAAAAAAGTGGTTATGAGTTCCGCTGCAATAGACTTAAAAACATCCAGCAGTGCTGAAGGGAACAACAGAGCTCCCAGCTCAGGACTTGAGCTCCTATAAGGGACAGACTGTCTTCTCAAGCAGCTCCCTGGTCCCCATATAGCCAAAGAGATGCATCATAAAGGAGAGCTCAGGCTGACATCTGGCAGGTATCCTTCTGGGATGAAGATATCAGAAGAAGAAACTGGCAGCAACCCTTACTGTTCTGCAGCCACTGCAGGTGATCCCCAGACAAGCAGTGTCTGGACTGGACCTCCAGCAGTCCTACAGCAGAGGGGACTGCCTGTTAGAAGGAAAAAGGAAAACTAAAAAACAGGTAAAAATAACTTCATCATCAACAAAAAGGACATCCACTCAGAGAACCCATCTGAAAGTCACCAACTACAAAGACCACAGGTAGACAAATCCACAAAGATGGGAAAAACCAGTGCAAAAAGGATGAAAACACCCCAAACCAGAATGCCTCTCCTCCTCCAAGGGATCACAACTCCTCACCAGCAAGGGAACAAGGCTGGATAGAGAATGAGTCTGATGAATTGACAGAAACGGGCATCAGAACATGGGTAATAACAAACTTCTCTGAGCTAAAAGAACACGTTCTAACCCAATGCAAAGAAACTAAGAACCTTGAAAAAAGGTTTGATGAAATGCTAATGAGAATAAACAGCTTGGAGAAGAATATAAATGAATTGAGCGAGCTGAAAAACACAAGAACTTCGTGAAGCATACACAAGTTTCAATAGCTGAATTGACTAAGCAGAAGAAAGGATATCAGAGATTAAAGATAAACTCAATGAAATAAAATGAGACGGCAAGATTAGATAAAAAAGAGTAAAAAGAAATGAACAAAGTTTCCAAGAAATATGGGATTATGTGAAAATACCTCATCTACATTTGATAGATGTACCTGAATGTGACAGAGAGAATGAATCCAAGCTGGAAAACACTCTTCAGAATATTATCTGGGAGAACTTCCCCAACCTAGCAAGGCAGGCCAATATTCAAGTCCAGGAAATACAGAGAACACCACAGAGATATTCCTCAAGAAGCGCAACCCCAAGGCACATAATCATCAGATTCACCAGGGTTGAAATGAAGGAAAAAAATGCTACAGGTAGCCAGAGAGAAAGGTCAGGTTACCCACAAAGAGAAGCCCATCACACACTCACAGCAGATCTCTCAGTGGAAACCCTGCAAGCCAAAATAGAGTGGGGGCCAATATTCAACATCCTTAAAGAAAAGAACTTTCAACCTAGAATTTCATATCTAGCCAAACTAAGCTTCATAAGCAAAGGAGAAATAAAATTCTTTACAAACAAGCAATTGCTCAGAAATTTCATGACCACCAGGCCTGCCTGACAAGAGCTCCTGAAAGAAGCACTAAACATAGAAAGGAACAACCAGTACCAGCCACTCCAAAAACTTACCAAATGGTAAAGAGCATCGACACAATGATGAAACTGCATCAACTATTGGGCAAAATAACCAGCTAGTATCAAAATGGCAGGATCAAATACACACATAAAAATATTAACCTTAAATGTAAATGGGCTAAACACCCTAATCAAAAGACACAGACTGGCAAATTTGATAAAAAGTCAAAACCCATCAGTGTGCTGTATCCAGGAAACAAATCTCATATGCAAGTATACACATAGGCTCAAAATAAAGGGATGGAGGAAGATTTATCAAGCAAATGGAGAGCAAAAAAAAAGCAAAAGTTGTAATCCTAGTCTCTGCTAAAATAAGACTTTAAACCAAAAAAAAAATCAAAATATACAAAGAAGGGTGTTACATAATGGCAAAAGGATCAATGCAACAAGAAGAGCTAACGATCCTAAATATATACAAACCCAATACAGGAGCACCCAGATACATAAAGCAAGTTCTTAATGACCTACAAAGAAACTCAGACTCCCACACAATAATAGTGGGAGACTTTAACACTCCGCTGTCAATATTAGGCAGATCAACCAGACAGAAAATTAACAAGGATATCCAGGACTTGAACTCAAATCTGGACCAAGCAAACCTAATAGAAATTTACAGAACTCTCCACCCCAAATCCACAAAATATACATTCTTCTTAGCACCACATTGCACCTACTCTAAAACTGACCACATAATTGGAAGTAAATCACTCCTCAGCAAATGAAAAAGAACAGAAATCATAGTAGTCTCTCAGACCACAGGGCAATCAAATTAGAACTCAGAATTCAGAAATAACTCAGAACCGCACAACTTCATGGAAACTGAACAACTGGCTCTTGAACGTTGACTGGATAAACAATGAAATGAAGGCAGAAATAAAGATGTTCTTCAAAACCAATGGGAGCAAAGACACAACATACCAGAATCTCCGGGACACATTTAAAGCAGTGTCCAGAGGAAAATTTATAGCAATAAATGCCCACAGGAGAAGCAAGGAAAGGTCTAAACTCAACAGCCTATAATCAAAATTGAAAGAGCTAGAGGATCAAGATCAAAAAAAAACTCAAAACCTAGCAGAAGACAAGAAATAACTAAGATCAGAGCAGAATTGAAGGAGATAGAGACACCAAAAAAAACCTTCAAACAATCAATAAATCCAGAAGCTGGTTTTTGAAAAGATTAACAAAATAGACAGACCACTAGCCAGATTAATAGAAAAGAGAGAACAAATAGATGAAATAAAAAATGATAAAGGGGATATCGCCACAGATTCCACAGAAATACAAACTACCATCAGAGATTACTACAAACAACTCTATGCACATAAACCAGTAAATCTGGAAGAAATGGATACATTCCTGGACACTTGCACCCTCACAAGCCTAAACCAGGGAGAAGTTGAAACCCTGAATAGACCAATGACAAGGGCTGAAGATGAGGCAGCAATGAATAGCCTACCAACTAAAAAAAGCCCAGGTCCAGATGGGTTCACAGCTGAATTCTACCAGACATACAAAGAGGAGCTGGTACCACTCCTTCTGAAACTACTCCAAACAATACAAAAAGGGGGAATCCTTCCCAAATCATTTTATGAGACCAACATCATCCTGATACCAAAAGCCAACAGAGACTGAACAAAAAAAGAAAACTTCAGGCCAATATCCATCATGAATATAGATGCAAAAATCTTCAATAAAATACTTGCAAACTGCTTACAACAGCACATCAAAAACTTATCCATCACAATCAAGTAGTCTTCATCCTGGGGATGCAAGGCTGGTTCAACATACCCAAGTCTGTAAGTGTAATTCACCACATAAACAGAACCAAAGACAAACAACACATGATTATCTCACTAGATGCAGAGAAGGCCTTTGACAAAATTCAACAGCCCTTTATGCTTAAAACTTTCAATAAACTAGGTATCTACAGAATGTATCTCAAAATAAAAAAAGCTATTTATGACAAACCCACAGCTGATATCATACTGAATGGGCAAAAACTGGAAGCATTCCCTTTGAAATCTGGCACCAGACAAGGGTGCCCTCTCTCACCACTAATACTCAATTTAGTATTGGAAGTTCTAGCCAGAGTAATCAGGCAAGAAAAAGAAATAAAGGGTATTCAATTAGGAAAGGAGGAAGTCAAATTGTCTCTATTTGCAGATGACATGATTGTATATTTACAAGACCCCATTGTCTCAGCCCAAAATCTCCTTAAACAGATAAGCAACTTCAGCAAAGTCTCAGGATACAAAATTAATGTGCAGAAATCACAAGCATTCCTATACACCAATAACAGACTTAAAGAGAGCCAAATCAAGAATGAACTGCCATTCACAGTTGCTACAAAGAGAATAAAATACCTAGGAATACAACTAACAAAGGATGTAAATGACCTCTTTAAGGAGAACTACAAACCACTGCTCAAGGAGATAAGAGATGAGACAAACAGATGGAAGAAAAATTCCATGCGCATGGTTAGGAAAAATCAAAATGGTGAAAATGGCTATATTGTCCAAACTAATTTATAGATTTAATGCTATCCCCATCAAGCTACCTATGTCCCTCTTCACAGAACTGGAAAAAACCACCTTAGACTTCATATGGAACCAAGAGAGAGCTCACATAGCCAAGTCAATTCTAAGCAAAAAGAACAAAGCTGGAGGCATTATGCTACCTGACTTCAAACTGTACTACAAGGCTACAGTAATCAAAACAGCATGGTACTGGTACCAAAACAGAGATATAGACCAATGGAACAGAGCAGAAGCCTTGGAGGCAATGCCACACATCTACAAACATCTGATCTTTGACAAACCTGACAAAAGCAAGCAATGGGGAAAGGATTCCCAGTTTAATAAATGGTGTTGAGAAAACTAGCTAGCAATGTGCAGAAAGCAGAAACTGGACCCCTTCCTGACACCTTACATTAAAATTAACTCCAGATGGATTAACGATTTAAACATAAGATCTAACACTATAAAAACCCTAGAAGAAAACCTAGGCAAAACCATTCAGGGCATAGGCATAGACAAGGACTTCATGACTAAGACACCAAAAGCATTGGCAACAAAAGCCAAAATAGACAAATGGGATCTAATGAAATTCCACAGATTCTGCACGGCAAAAGAAACAATCATTAGAGTGAACCTGCAACCAATAGAATGGGAAAAAAATGTTTGCAATCTACCCATGTGACAAAGGGCTAATATCCAGAATCTACAAAGAACTAAAACAGATTTAAATTTAAACTAAAACAGATTTGAAGAAAAAAACAATCAAACCCATTCAAAAGTGGGCAAAGGATGTGACCAGACGCTTTTCAAAAGAAGACATATACGAGGCCAAGAAACATATGAGAAAATGCTCATCATCACTGGTCATTAGAGAAATGCAAATCAAAACCACATTGAGATACCATCTCACGCCAGTTAGAATGGGGATCATTAAAAAATCTGGAGACAGCAGATGCTGGAGAGGATGTGGAGAAATAGGAACACTTTTACACTGTTGTGGGAGTGTAAATTAGTTCAACCATTGTGGAAGACAGTGTGGCGATTCCTCAAGGCCTTACAAACAGAAATTCCATTTGACCCAGCAATCCCATTACTGGGTATATATCCAAAGGACTATAAATCGTTCTACTATAAGGACACATGCACACGAATGTTCATTGTGGCACTGTTTACAATAGCAAAGACTGGAACCAAACCAAATGCCGATCGATGATAGACTAGACAAGGAAAATGTGGCACATATACGTCATGGAATACTATGCAGCCACAAAAAACAAAGAGTTCGTGTCCTTTGTAGGGACATGGATGAATCTGAAAACCATCATTCTCAGCAAACTGACACAAGAACAGAAAATCAAACACCGTATGTTCTCATTCATAGGCGGGTGTCGAACAATGAGAACACATGGACACAGGGAGGGGAGCACCACACACTGGGGTCTGTTGTGGGGGACTAGGGGAGTGACAGCAGTGGGTAGGGAGGTTGGGGAGAGATAACATGAGGAGAAATGCCAGATCTAGGTGATTGGGATGGAGACAGCAAACCACATTGCCATGTATGTACCTATGCAACAATCCTGCATCATCTGCACATCTACCCCAGAACCTAAAGTACAATAAAATATATTTTTAAAAAAACTTTTTCATTATTTTATCACTGTGGTGATCTGTGATCAGTGGTCTTTGATGTTACTATTGTAATTGTTTTGGGGGTCCCCTATAAGACAGAGAACTTGATAAATGTGTGTGTTCTGATTGCTCCACCATTCGGCCATTCCTCTGCCTGTCTCCCCTTCTCGTGCATCCTGTTCCCTGAGGATTGAAATTAGGACAGTTAATAAACCCTGCAAAGGCCTCTAAGTGTTCAAGTAAAGAGGAGAGTTGTAGGCCTCTGACTTTAAATCAAAAGGTAGAAGTAATTAAGCTGGGGGAGGAAGGCATGTCGAAAGCTGATAGGCCCCGAGCTAGGCCTCTTGTGCCAAACAGTTAACCAAATTGCGAATGCAAAGAAAATGTTCTTGGCCAGACATGGTGACTCATGCCTGGAATCCCAGCACTTTGGGAGGCCGAGACGGGCAGATCACCTGAGGTCAGGAGCTCAAGACCAGCCTGGCCAACATGGTGAAAACCTGTCCCTACTAAAAATACAAAAATTAAGCCAGGCTCTGTGGCTCATGCCTGTAATCCCAGAACTTTGGGAGGCTGAGAGGGGGCAGATAATGAGGTCAGGAGTTCAAAGACCAGACTGACCAACATGGTAACTCTATCTCTACTAAAAATTAAAAAAATTAGTCAGGCGTGGTGATGCATGCCTGTAATCCCAGCTACTTGGGAGGCTGAGGCAGGAGAATTGCTTGAACCTGGGAGGTGGAGGCTGCAGTGAACTGAGATCACCCCACTGCACTGCAGCCTGGGTGACAGAGCGACACTCCATCTCAAAAAAAAAGAAAGTTCTTGAAGGAAATTAAAAGCGCTTCTCCAGGGAACACGCAAATGTTAAGAAAGTGAGACGGCCTTATCGCTGATATGGAGAAAGTTTGAGTGGTCGGGATGGAAGATCAACCAGCCACAGCAGTCCCTTAAGCCAAAGCCTAATCCAGGGCAAGGCCCTAACTCTCTTCAATTCCTTGAAGACGGAGAGAGGGAGAAAGCTGCAGAAGGAGTTTGAAGCTTTTGAACCTCGTTGGTTCATGAGATTTAAGGAGCGAAGCCAGCTAGACCAAGTACTGGAGCTGGGCTCAGGACAACCCATGGATGAGGCTGCCAGCGACAGAGGTGTCTCGTCTGGCTCAGAAAAATTTTTTTTCTTGGAAATCCGTTTGGCAAATTGAAAATTGGATTAGTGAGTTGGAAAGGGAAGAAAGATAAGAGGTACAGCCAGAGAAAGGAGGCCCGAGAAGGTGGCGAGGGCACACGCTGGAGTGTCCAGTGGGGACTGTAGAAGGTAAAAGACAGGGTCCCAGAGAGGAGAGTCAGAGATGCCCGGTAAGGGGCCACCTGGCCGGGGAGGGAAGAGAGAACCAGCTTACCAGCTCCCACTCCTGGGCTGCTTGAGTGTTTCTCAGCTCTGCTCTTGGATTTTTAATATAATTTTGTTACTCGTGGAGGGTGTCCAGGTTCTCGGCATTTTGAACAATGAATTGAACAAAAAGCACAAACAAAGCAAGGAAAGAATGAAGCAACAAAAGCAGAGATTTACTGAAAAGCAACGTACACTCCACAGTGTGGGAGAAGGTCCAAGCAGCAGCTCAACGGTACAGAATCTTCTCAGGCCTGAGTACCCGGTACAGCTTTCCTGTTGGCCACTTCTTGCTCCCCCCGTGTAAATGAAGTGGTGGCCTGCAACCAATCAGAGGCTGAAGTGAAGTTACAAAGTTACTCTCTTACGCAAACATCTGATTGGTTACAGAAAACAACCAATCAGAAGTACTTTCAATTTCCCATCTGCAGGGCACAAAAAAGGTGGGGATTTGCAAAGGAAGTAGCCTCTGGTCCTTTCGTTACTTAGGTATGGAAAGTTAGGGTTTTCCTTTCAGTTTAGTTCCAGAAAGACCCTATTCTCCTGTCTCAATTTTGCTGGCTATCTTCAGGAACCCTCCTATCTCCCAACCCATGCAGATACACCCCTTTATTTAAATTAGCTTAGTGGATACCTTTTCCCTGCACCCCAAAAGCGAAAAGAATCAAAGGGCCAAGGATCCCAGAACACGGGACTGGGTCTGAAGCGGTGTGGAGCTAGGAACTTGCAGTTATTGGAGCAAGGTCATCAAATACTGAATAAAAATCATTCAAAGACTTTTACACCAAGGCAGTCAATGATGTATTTGGACTTGTAAGATCTAACATATCTCATCTCCTGTTCCACAGGAAGGGCTGTAAGTGCAAAGCATCCCCCAATGCAGAAGGAGCCAAGAAACCAAAGAAGGGGGTAGACAAATCCAGTTTGTTGGTTTGGGGTGATTTATTAGGGGGACTTACACACAGAAGAGCTGTCATGGGCAGTGCAAAACAGGTAGCACTCCGCACTGCACCCCCCCTCCCCAGACCCAGGTCAAAAGTAGACCTTGGGGAAAATGTAGGTGGCTTCAGGCAACACAGCATCTGATTTCTACAACAAAATCAAGAGTCGGAGGAAGCTTACAATGAATGGGTGTTCTTACATAAAGAGTAACACATCAGCCAAACGCATTGTCTCATGCCTGTAATTCCAGCACTTTGGGAGCCTGAGGTAAGCAGATCACCAGAGGTCATGAGTTTGAGACCAGCCTGGCCAACATGATGAAAACCCGGAAACCCCGTCTCTACTAAAAATACAAAAATTAGCCAGGTGTGGTGGTGCATAACTGTTATCCCAGCTGCTCATGAGACTGAGGCAGGAGAATCACTTGAACTTGGGAGGCAGAGGTTGCAGTGAGCCAAGGTCATTCTACTGCACTCCAGCCTGGGTGACAAAGCCAGACTCTTCTCAAAAAAAAAAAAAAAAAAAACAGAGAGAGTAGCACATTAACTCAACATTTTGGAGCCATTCTCAGATTTGGAGTTAGCCAAATGATAAAATAAGGTCACTCTTGTGCCCACACCTCCCATCCCCATTTCTTAGAAAAATTCTGAAGCAAATGCTGCACTGAAACAAATGAGTAAACTTAAAAGGTAGAAGTCAAGATACAGAGAATAGCAAGAGTAACACACACACACACACACACACACACACACACACCACACACACACACCACACACACACACCACACACACCACACACACACCACACACACACACACACCACACACACACCACACACACACACCACACACACACCACACACACCACACACACACACCACACACACACACCACACACACAGCACACACACACCACACACACACACACCACACACACACACCACACACACACACACACCCCCACACACAAACACATACACACACACACACAAGGAAGTACAAAGCAGGAGCAAGGTGCGGGAAGACGGAGAAGGGAGATTCTGTAGTGACACTGGGGCAGCCTGTCTAGACTGGGCTCTGGATGGAATGTTTATGAAAAGAGAAAAAGAAAGGGGGAGAAAGAGAAGGAGAAAGGGGAGAAGAAGGAAAGGAGGAGGATCATCTTATTTGACAGCCCCTGTGCTAGCTGCTTCTATTCTTTTTTTTTTTTTCCTTTTTTGAGATGGAGTTTCACTCTTGTCACCCAGGCTGGAGTGCAGTGGCACGATCTCAGCTCACTGCAACCTCTGCCTCCCAGGTTCAAGCAATTCTCCTGCCTCAGCCTCTCGAGTAGCAGGGATTACAGGTACACATCACCATGCCTGGCTAATTTTCTTATTTTGGGTAGAAAACAGGTTTGACCATGTTGGTCAGGCTGGTCTCAAACCCCTGACCTCGGGTGATCCATCTGCCTCAGCCTCCCAAAGTGCTGGGATTACAGCTGTGAGCCATCATGCCTGCCTTGTTCTTAACCTGTTTTGTTTGTTTAACTCAAGGCATGACTTTCCTGTAGGCACTCAGTCTGTCAAAAAGGGATTGGTTGGGCCTGGGAAGATAGTCGGTGTTGTTCCGTGATATTCTTGCTGGCAATGTAATTACTCTTTAAGATTTGATAATTAGATAATTAGGAATATCTGAATTACTGACCGGGGAACTCAATTACTGACCATGGTCCTGAATGACTCTTCCGGCTTGGATTTTGTATTATTTTAAGGGAAAGCTAGAGAAGATCCAAGAAAAATGACAATGTGATTATTTTAGAAAAATGTCCATGGAGGATGGAGATTCAACCCCAGCTTCCACGGAGATTTCATCAAAGCAGACAAAAGCAGCACAATGGTCAAAGATACGGAAGAGCTCCTGGGTTCATGGGAATTCTGTCTAGCTAAATCCCATCAGACCAGCTCCGGGTAGCTGAGATCCTGTTTGTTTGAAAAACATTTCATTTTGAGAACAATCCCCAAGAATGTACATATCACTTCCATCCATTTTCCTTCATTTGTCTGATTTCTCACAATGTTGCCTGAAAAAATTATTATTTGGCACATGAACTAAGCTATCAACATCAAAAGTTTCCATGGAGTGCTTCTTAGTAAATTATTAGTATTTTGAACAACTAACTTGGGGCCCTAGGGTTTATCTAATTTTCATCTTTAGTGTATCTTTATTCAGCAGATGTGCTTTTCACCCCATAACCGAAGTTTGCTAATTTTTTATTAATTGCAGACAAAACTGATCATTCACTTAAGAGGCCACTGATTAACATCTACCAAAAAAAGAAAGAATTTTGATATGAATTATCTAGGGAAACTGACATCTTTTGATCAAATCTATTCATGGGAATTGAACCAAATCATTTGCCTTGAAAAAATGTCTCTTGCCCTTTTGAAGACATAGGTAGCTCTAGAAGAGGTGAACTTTCTTCCTGTGTCCCGGGTGTAGCCTAGCACAGGACTTGGTACATAGTGCCATTAGCTACCTAAAGATGAAAACAGCATCTTCTCCCTTCCTCAAAAGATTCACATTTTGCTTTTTCTGGTTTGGAAAAGAAGCAATCAGTATATGGTCTATCAAATAAATTGATCGTCCCTGGATATTAGCCAAGAGAAGTCCTCTCTGCCTGACACTTATTATAGACTCCCCCTCCTCCCCAGCCCAGGCCCACACTTTGAGACAGCAAGCCATTAATTTCTAATGAAAGCCTCTGAGGTTACAACCCAGTTGGTGAGTTTCCTGAGATAGCAGCCCACCTCCATGGAGAAAGTTTACTACATGGTTATTGGGGAAAATGTTGCTTGTACGCTGAGATGATCAGATCCCACGTGATGGATGGCAATGGATTACTGGAATGGTTGGGAGTCCAGAGTGGGTGGGAACTGGATTCTCCGGAAGGGCTTTTAAGACAAAAAAGCACATGGGTTGGGAAGGCTGATGACTGGGATACAGAGGAACTTGGTGGTCAGAGGGTGCATTGGGAAAAAAGACAGTCTGTAGGCCTTTCCCACTAGAGCAGAATCAGACAGGATGCACTGGAATTTTTGCATAGATGAGCCCATAGTGATTGGAGGGAGTCAGGACTAGGAGGGAGTCAGGACTAAGAGTGTGGCTCCTCCGGTAACTTTAATTCCTTTTTTCCCTATAGATTGTCACATTTGGGCATTGTTTACCAATTCTGTTGCTGTGCTGTAAGCATTATCATTATTTGAGAATATATCTAGCAAATGCCTGTTAGCCCCTGTCATATACCAGGAGCGTATCGTAGAACATGCCTTAAAACAACAGAAATTTATCCTCTCTCAGTTCCAGAAGCCAGAAGCTGTCAGCAGGGCTACGCTCCTCTGAAACTCTGGGTGGAAAAATCCCTCCTCGCCGCTTCCCACTCCTGGTATTGCCATCCACTCGCGGTGCCCCGTGGCTTGTGGTCGCACCACTCCAGCCTCTGCTCATCACCATGGGGGATTCTCCTTGAGTGTCTCATTTCATGTGGGAAGATGAGAGACAGACAAGCCTGGGGTTCTGTCCCCCAAGGGCTAACAACCCTTAAAAATGGGCCACATGGTTTGCAAAAACTGCAAATTTTATTCCTAAGTGTTTTTGCCTGCTTTCTTGCTTGCTTTCCTTTCTTTTCTTTTTTTTTTTTTTTTTTTTTTTTTGAGATAGGGTCTTGCTCTGTAGCCCAGGTAGGAGTACAGTGATGCAATCACAGCTCACTGTAGCCTGGATCTCCCAGGCTCAAGCCACCCTCTCATCTCAGCCTCCTGAGTAGCCGGGACTACACGTGCACACCACCATGCCTGGCTGATCGTTTTTATTTTTTGTAGGGACAAGATCTCACTGTGTTGCCCAGGCTGGAACTTTGCCTGCTTAGCTAGCATCCCCTTTTCTGCTTCTCTGCCCTTTGTTCTAAGTGTCGCTTTTCTTCCTCGGGAGACACAAGACCAGAGATGGTTTTCCTGGCTCAGTTTGAAGTTTGATCTGTTTCCTTTTCCTTCTCAACCTGAGAATAAAGCTCATGGGTGCTTTGTTTCTCTCCATGATTATTCAGTTAGAATTGGCTAGGGTGGAACTTGCCTACTAATTGGAGAGAAAACCGAGTGTCCTCTTCCTAATCCTCTTTTAGCTACAAGGAAATTTCCAGGTTTTGTGGTCACTGCCGCAGAACTGACCTCCCTGGTTCACTTCTACCTACTCTCCCCCACCTTCCCCACCCTCCATAACTTTTACCTTTCTCTTCCCAGCTTCCTCCCTTGAGCTCCCACCAGCTACCTGCTTCATGTCGTGACTTAACTCTATGCCTTGTTTTAAACATTGTCCCTTCCCCTTATGAACTGATTCTGGCAA